CAACACTCATGCCAATACTCACCTCTAGTCACCATCTGCTTTGAGTCCAGCCTTTTAGTAAAGCTGTCAAACTGCAATAATTGACCTGTTATTGATTCTCCAGAGGACTGATCACAGCAAGGAGGTCGCGACTCACTACAACACGCTGCAGGAGGTTGGACTCGCCGCTCGAAGTCAGAGCAGGATCTTCTACATGAGGAACTTTAACAATTGGCTGAAAAGTGTTCTGATTGGTAACAGATTACTTATTGATCCTATCCTGCTAATCAAATAACATTATGAAACATCACTAAATGTTACCTGTCTAATTTGGCCTGCTTCTCTGGTTTTATTTTATAAAGAGGTTACCTGAACTCTGATGCGGTGGACTCTAAGATCTTTATTTTTCTTCTTTTCACTTACAGGTGAGATCCTGGAAAAGGTTCAGGGAGCGGGGAGCAGGGACGTGTCTGTGTTGGACCTGGGCTGTGGTAAAGGAGGAGACTTGTTAAAGTGGAGAAGAGGAGGAATCAGCCACCTTGTCTGTGCAGGTGACTCGCTCTCAGGCCTCTGTTCTGTTTTTTTTGTTCCAAAATAGAAAGACAAAGTTGTGGTATCTCTTCTGGGAGTTCATCTAGTTTCAAAAAGTGTAAATAGGTTAGAGGGAAAAAGAAATCCCAAAATGGAGATATCTTTTTTTAATTTTTTTTTATCTCTGATTAATTTAAAAATGACAAACAGCAATAATCAACATAAATGTTTGAGTAAATGTCAACATTAGCCATAGAGACTTATCTTAATCAATCAGCTCCGGCAGGATCATAGCAGAAAATGAGGTCTCAAATATAAATTAAAATGACTAACTCACACAGTGTCATTTGTTTACTTATTTAGATCCCCATTAGCTACGGAGTGAAAGCAATAGTTATTCTTCCTGGGGTCTTAACATTTCCTAACGGATATTACATCAAATCTCTACAACAATGAAGCCAAACACAGAAGTACACACACACAATACAACTTCATATACATCTATAACATACACATAACAATATAGTATGAGCTATTCTATGTACAAAACATTACCACTCTCTGGGTATTATGTACATTACAAAACATTTAATTTACTATAGCTCATTGTGAAGTACTTAATTCCATAAATGTTACAGTAGTAAATACATAAAGTCTAAGCCTTTATGAAAAGCTAAAATTGTACAATTCTGAAACCGAGAAATACGGGAGCGAATTCCATGCCTCCATCGCTCTATAACACAATGTTCTCTGAAGTTGTTTTATTCGACAGGCAGGTAACCAAAAATGTCTTTCGCTTGATTGGCGAGGGGAAATAATTATAAATGTCACCAAAAAAAGTCAATCTATAATAAATAATTTCAGGTGCTTTTGTAATTACATTTTTTTTAAAGAATTTAATCAGAGAATATTTGATTATCCTCCTTACATGCAGCCATGCTAACTGATTGTTCATGTCTCTAATACTTGTTCTGAAAAATTTTTTTAGGACAAGCCATGTTTTATATCAATTTTGACCATTTTTGTTCATTATAAATGTTTACTGGAATCATCAGTGTATTTTCCTCTGCTGTTTTTTCCAGATATAGCAGAGGTGTCTGTTGAGCAGTGCCAGACTCGGTACGAAGATATGAAAAGGAGGAGTCACGCTAATGAGAAAATCTTCAGGGCCCAGTTTATTGCTGCAGACTGTTCCAAGGTAGATTTTCACTTTGCAGACAGTTTGTACCACCTGTGGTTAGCTGCCAATGTTAGATAGCATCAGTGAGAATAGTTTCCCTCATTATGATCTGTTGGAGCAGGAGCTGTTGTCGGAGAAGCTGGACGACCCCAAGCTGATGTTTGACATCTGCAGCTGTCAGTTTGTCTATCATTACTCGTTTGAGAGCGAGCAGAAGGCAGACATGATGCTACGAAATGCCTGCGAGCGTCTCAAACCAGGAGGCTTCTTCATTGGAACGACGCCGGACGCTTACGAGCTTGTGTAAGAGCAAGGAAGCCTCTTTCTGAGAATGTCGCTCTGACTGTAATACCTTAAGAGGCTGTAGAAAACTGTTAACGTTAAAAGTTTATGGAACAATGTCTGAATTGTTTTCTTTTTTATATATATATATTCCTCAGTAAACGTCTGGAGGCATCAGACTCCTTGTCATTTGGTAACGAGGTCTTCAAAGTTTCCTTTGAGTCCAAAGGTTCCTATCCTCTGTTCGGATGTCAGTATCACTTCAACCTTGAGGGCGTTGTTGATGTTCCAGAGTTTCTTGTCTACTTCCCTCTATTTGAACAGTAAGATTTACAATTAAATTGGAAAATTTTTTCTTTTAAATTAGGACCTGTTTTAAGTTTTTCTTCTATTCATACCGGAACAACTCTGGTACTGAAGAGTCTTCTCTTAAAAACGGCAATTAAAAAGTTACTAAAAACTAAACTGGTACTAAGTTCCTGTATGTAATAGAAGCCTAGATAAAACTGAGTTCAGAAGACTAGATACTCGTGGAAAAGGACTTAATATCACACTACTACTGTAAAACTGAGACTCCTGTGTTTCAGCATGGCAAAGCGGTACAACATGCGTCTGGTGCTAAAGCAGAGGTTCTCCGAGTTCTTTGATGAAAAAGTGAAAAAGGACCAACATCGCAGCCTAATGATGAAGATGATGGCTCTGGAGGTAAGTCTTTGCTTGATTCATACCAGAAGTCATGTTTCAGGGTAGATTTATAAACCAGTTATGTTTCATTTGCAGAGAGAGCTGCTTTTTTGTTCTGTAATGAACTGCCAGTTTAAAGATTTCATATAAACACCAAACACCTTTTCTATAGAAACAAGGACAGTTCCTGTTCATACGATCACCCTTTACCAATCACAGAGCTCACTTTCCTAATTTGTATATATATAAAAACAAGCTGAAGTATTGGAATGTCATATTTTATGCTTATAAAATCTCATACCATCTACAAAATTTTCAGAAAATGAATTATGGAAAATGACATTTTACCGAAAACATGCTACAAGATTTCATTTACCATCAAATATCTAATTCCATCCACTCCTGCTTCATTTCTCTGAAGATTGTCTCCATTCGAGACAGTCTTCCGTCTGTCTCTCCCTCTGTTATTTATCTACCTATTTATCTTTAGGTAAATGTAATGATGTTGGTTTACTTCACTTCTATTGTTTTAAACCATGAATAATTGAGGTTTGAAAAACTATATAGATGTATGAAGTATGAAAAAGAAAAAAACAAAAAATGTACTATACCCTCACCAATGAATAGGTATCTACATTTAAAAAGGGAATTTTACACCTATTTATAAGTGTAGAAAAACATCAAGATAGACTGCATTTTTTCAATATCAGTTTTTCTACAGTATGGCAAGACATTATTGTATCTAATGAGCTAAGTAGAGCTGGGGCCTGCAACTACAATTCGAAAGAAATACATTTCCCTTCAGTCTAGCTAAATAAAATCTCTTCACCTACACACATTTTCCTGGACCTTTTCTAAAAATCTTAGAAGGAAGATAAAAGCATGTAGTATTTTGCTAAAAGCAGGAATCATGTTTGTTTAATGGGATGTTGATGTTAATGGAAAATAATGTAAACTAGTATCAAAAACAATCTATCATTCTGTTGTTGAAATGTAATCATTTAAGGAAAAACTGGCAAAATCTGTATTTTTTGTTATATCTTTATTTAATCAAAAATATTGGACTGTTCTTGCTCATTATTATACAAGGTTGTTAGGATTTATGTGAGCCGTCCAAATAGCCTCTTGCTACTTAATGTTGATTTATAAATGTTTAAACATTAGTAAGGCATTGTAAGTTTATTTATAAAGAGCATTTTATAAGCCAGACAATCCAAAGTGCTGTGCATTAAAGGAAACCCACAGGAACACAAAGACTGATAATAAAATGAAAGAAAGTTAAAATAGAAACTTAAACTGTTAATATTGTAATAATGGCATGATCAAATCCCACTCTATACAAAAATTTTCAGATCTTTAATCTGAATTTATATGACTTAAAGTTTCGGCACTTTTATTTTCCTGGTAGTTTACCAGATTAGTGAAGTATAAGAACTAAAATACTGGTTAAAGTAGTGTTAAAAGCCATAATGAATATGGCTTTTATTTCAATCTTTTAACTGCAAATAATTGCTTGAAAAAAACAGGGTAAAATGACACCAGTAGTTTAGCGAATAAAATATTATCTTAATTTCCTGCCTGTAAATAATAAAATCAGAGAAGCCAAACTGACACAGAGCTATTTTTTTTACCAGGGCTAAATGTGAGTAAATTCATTATCCTTATTTTCCTTATTATAACTTCAGAATAACACTGAAGCCAACTTTAGATTTGTTTCTGGCAAACCGTATTAATAATGTAAATAAATGTTCCCTAATATAAAAATTAAAAAAGACTGATCTTATTGTTTTGGGTTTATTTAGTTCCTTGAAATCATGGTTTTAAATTGGAGCCTTGATTCTTGAACTGGGTCTAGATGAGAATGTAATTGGTCAAAAATAGAAAACTGCTTTAATTATTCAGTTTTTATTTGGTGAACAATAATCAAGTCGGGATCAGGCTAGTCTTAAACTGAATACTTTCTGCTGAATAAAGTCAGCATTTTCTTAATACAGCTGCCGTTTAATCGATTCAGCCCGCCTCACATGGTTTCTGTTGTGTGTGGATGTATTTGCAGCCATTTCCGTGTGAGGCAGGAGGTCAGCAGGCAACAGAGAACACAGAGCAATACTGCCATGCTAAAGAGCACTGTGATAAAGCTGGAGTGAGGCGGCCAGTGGTGAGTGGTGCTTCAGCTTCAGTTTGATTAACAGTCCTGCTTGCTCTAACACTGTTTCCTGTCTGAAAACAGGGAACCCTAAGCAGATCCGAATGGGATGCAACCAGTAGGTTCAATTACATAAACCTTTTTAATTTAGAATGAAGAAACTGACTTTATAAAGATACCAAATACTTACTGTATATCGTCTTGTTCTCTGCAGGTATCTACTTGGTGTTTGTGTTTCAGAAAATGTCCTGATACTTGAAAACCAGCTCTCATCACAGCTTACCTCACCTCTTCCTCACTCTGTCTGTACAGTTTATCTTTCTGTTTTGCTTTTTAGATATTTTTCTTTTTTAAGAAAACATGAGGTTGTTGGAGAAAAAAAATAAACTGAAAATAAAACATGATGCCCTCTCCTGGTTTCTTTTATTAAATCTGAAGTCGATGAGGCTTTGAGTCATGTAGGGTTTTTTAAACTGCTCTTGCATTGGTTCTTCAGTTGGCACTAAATTATAATTAGTGATTATTATATTTTATTATTCAACTAATTTCTACAAAAATGCTTTACAAAAAAATCAGATGATACAAAAACGTTCCTCTAAATATTTTGAGGGGACCTTTAAGGCATCACTGTCTGCATTTCGCAAATGACCGCTGATAGTACAGATTATGTCAAATACTTAATGCCACGTTAATGCGCTTGTCTGAATATAGAACTTGAATCTGAAACCTGATCCTGTCGGCATGTTGCTTGTCAGAATTAAGTAGCAACAGTAGCTCTACTGGGAATAAAAGCTATCAGGTGGTTGTTTACATAGGTTGCCTGATGTTTATGGCTATTTAGACACAGTCCAAGACATTCTCTATAAAACTGGGGTCCAACCTCTTCTGTGTAGGTAAATCTAGTGAGAATAATGAAGTAATGAGCCTCAAAGTATCCAGGAACCATTCTCTATTTCAGTTTAATCCATGTTCTGTTGTTGGCTTCATCAAAAGCTTGGATGCATAAAAAACACAAGGTTCCCTAATCCAGGAATCTTAGTCTGCAACAACTTTGCTTTATTGAATGAAATACATTAATACTTCTTGGTCATTATTTTACAAGAAAAAGAATCCCATGTTTGGAAAAATGAAAGGTAATTTAGCTTTAAAAGCTCTAAACTCATTGTGTTCAGCTGGACTGAGGATGGTGACTGAACTGTAAAGTTTCTTGTGTTCTCTGTTTTGTAATGTGTGATCTGTGTCTTTAATGTGGTCAACACTGAGAAAACCCATGACGGCTAATAAAAAACCTTTAGAAATAACTTGTCACATTTTTGAGGAAGGATTGTAGTCTTTTTATTGCATATAGTACAGCATCAGTATGTCAAGGTTTGTAGATGTTGATTTCTGTTACTCTCTGACCACCAGATATAGACTTGGTTTTTGCCAGACCTTATTTATATATATATATATATATATATATATATATATATATACTCACTCGCCTTAATTTGAAAGTTTGTTCTGTATCCTGTCGTTTACCTGATTTTGAAATGATTTGATGGTTTCAAGTTCTGTTAGTTCAAAGTGAACCCAAAATATTACACCAGCTCCACCTTGCTCCACAGCTGGTATCAGGTTTCTGTTTTTTATAAAATGTCATGTTGTTTTTGGCTTTTGAGTTTCTTTAGGTGAGAACTGTCCATCACCACTTTAAACCGCTTCTTCTTTAGTGCTTTTTTAGCAGAGAATTTTTGAGAGTCCTGTTTCCGTCAGTATGATTTTTTTTGTTGGATGCATGCCAAATCTGTTGTCATAATTAACATTTATGGGGTTAAAATAAATAGTTTAATCTAGAGGGTTTAAGCAGTTAGGATAAACAAAATATGTCTATCTGTGCATAATGAACCTGTTTCCTATTTAAACTTTTTGAATTACTGAGATGAATCTACTTTGACATTTATTTATTGAGATGTTGCTGCAGGTTCTTGAAAACATGAACTGAACTTAAAACTTTTATTCTTTGATGGAAATCTGGGTATCAGTGATGATTTTTGCTAAAACATACTGACCCCTACTGGTTGAAAAAACAATTTCTATTAAAATTTTTCCATTTGAAGCACTACTACAAAGAAAAAAAAAAAGTTTGAATAATGACATTTATTTCATCTTGGAAAAAAGATGCATCGTTTAATAAAACTTTGCCGTAAAATAAGTGTTTTTCTCTTTTGTATGATTTAACATAAGGAAGTTATAAGTTCCTGAAAATGAAATCAATCATTGTTGCAGACAGGAATGTCTGTGTTTAAATATAGTGCAGGAAGTTATTTGAGTCTTTGTGTCGTTAGTTACTGTAAGTTTTCTGATAACATGGAAAAACAACTTCGTTAATTCATTCATTTCTCGGTCTGCAGACAAGTTAGTATTATTTGTTTGGTTTTCTTGATCTAATTTCTTTCATATTGATTTTTTTTTGCCCTAATGGAGGAGCTTTAATCCACCAGTCTGTACAGAACATGTTCCCCTGAACTGGATCAGGAAACGTTGGCTTACTGAGGCTCCCTCTTTCCTGCCCGCAGTGACAGACTCTCACAGCTGCTGCTGCATACGTATGCCAGTTCCTATTTATAAACCAAGTATTTCTGTAAATGCAGGGATGAAAACTAAAACACCCGATTACATAACTTAAGGTTCATTTTAGTTCTCAAACCAGAACTACGTACCCTGGCTAGCCAGAATGTAAGTAACTCTGCTGAGATACTTCAGTAGAGTTTAAGCAGCAAAAATAAAATCCATTCATGTGATTTTCTGTTTTTTTTTTTCCTCTAACAGTATGTGTGTGTGTAATCCTCCCTAATAAATCTCACAAACTGGAGGTTATCGCTTTTAATAATGTGGAATTTTTAGAACATCAGGTTGGATTAAACCTGATGTTCTAAAACCTGGTGCAAAAATGTGCCAATTTATTTACATTTTAACATAAAGGATTTTTATTTTATTTGGGATAACATTTAGTGATGTTATCCCCAAGTGTGACTGTGAAGAAAGCATGTTTTCTTAGGCTAAATGTGTTTTAAAGTAGCTAATTCCAGGCTTTAGACATTCCAGTTGCTGGTTTGTTCACTTGTTTTTTTAAACTAATAGAATTTTAATTGCCTAAAGGTTTTATCCAAGCATCATGTTAGTTTGATATTAACATTTTCACAGATGCAGATCGTAGCCTCCAGCTGCATTTGAAGCACTGTGACTAAACTCTGTTCACCTCTGTTTTCAATTATGCTGCAGCAGAGTATGAGTTTTAACTGGAGGCCGAAGAGGAAGGACTTTGATTGCTTTTCTGAATCCTTTTTAAAGTTGTTCTCATGATGGACTTTAATTTAAAAGATTGCTTCTCTTGAATCATTATTAATCTCATCCATTAATTTAGGAAAAGTGAAAAAATACAAAAAACAATTTAAACCTCTTCTTTAGTGCTATTTTTAGCAGAGACATTTTCAGAGTCCATTTTCCGTCAGTATGCTTGATTTGGATGCATGCCAAATCTGTTGTCGTAATTAACATTTATGGGGTTAAAATAAATAGTTTAATCTAGAGGGTTTAAGCAGTTAGGATAAACAAAATATGTCTATCTGTGCATAATGAACCTGTTTCCTATTTAAACTTTTTGAATTACTGAGATGAATCTACTTTGACATTTATTTATTGAGATGTTGCTGCAGGTTCTTGAAAACAAATTGAACTTAAAAACAAGTTATTAAACTATTCAATAAAATGTTTTTATTCGTTGATGGAAATCTGGGTAACAAGAGACTAAACTATGTTTACCTCTGTTTTCAATTATGCTGCAGCAGAGTATGAGTTTTAACTGGAGGAAAAGGAAGGATGTTGATTGCTTTTCTGAATCCTTATTAAAGTTGTTCTCATGATGGACTTTGATTTAAATGATTACTTCTCTTGAATCATTATTAATCTCAGCCCAACAATTTAGGAGAAGTGGAAAATAAATACAAAAAGTCCATCATGAGAACAACTTTTTATAAGTGGAAAATGTGTCAGCTTCTTATCATCCCAGAACTGGACGATACTCCGGGTCAAACAAAATCTCAGGATATTTAGGTTTACTGTATGAAATGCTACATTTAATGATGGGACCCAAACAAAGAAGCTGACAGTAATGATCCCCTTAAGAAGGAGGTTTGCATAGTGCCATCTGAACACAATACTTGCTTGGATGAGACTCTTTTGCGTAACAAAGTGTTGTAATATTCAAGTATGAGGCTAACTGATGGCAAAGAGGATATAAGGAAAATCAAATGAATACAGGTTGTGTTAAGACATATTTCAGATAGAAAGGGTCTTGCCAAAGGGTCTTTCAACAATCTACTAAGACATGGCTGCACTTGATTTTTGCTTTAAAGCTCTGAAACTAAATAATCACGTACCTTTTTTTATTCTGTCTTTATGTGTAAACCTTTAAAAAAACAAGTTATTTTTCTATTAGTGATGTTCCTTGTGTTTCAAACTTTCATGCATGTGTCAAACCATTTTAAAGGGAAACTGAGGAAGATGGTTTTGTTTGAATCCAGTTTACATTACTTAACTCTTTCATCCTCCTTTTTTGAGGAATATAAAAATTTTAAGAATAATGTAAAGCATGACTTACAGAGCTATTCAGCTTGCAAATCTAAGCTAATCTTTGCCTTTGAGTACCTGAATTCTAAAGTTTGATTAAAAGTGTTTTAATTAGATTGAACAAGTGCTTGCATTCACAGCACAGTGACCGCACCTTTGAGTTTGACTTTTTATCTAGAGGAGAAAGTAATTTGTAGGTTGATAAAGTGTCTAAATGCCAATGCTTTTGAAATAATGGCACGGTGAGTTTTTGGTTTAAGCATAGTTGTCGGTTTTTAGGTTATTTAACGTTTTTTTTAGATACAGTTTGTTGTTACTGAGCATTTAATTGCCCAACCCTCCCCTCTGCCCTGTTTAGCAAAGACAAGCTCTGCTGTCTGTGATGAAACATGAGCCTAAAGGGGTCATCAATGTCAGGGAAAGATGATCATGTCCGTTCCCTGGGATGACTTGCATACTTTCCACCGTCATGTTAGGGTTTCATCTGTTTACTGTAGAGGCTATTGCTGCAGGTCAGAAAGCAATTGGAAGAAAAGGCTGCAGAAAATTTAGAAACTCGAGTTAAGAGTTAACAGCAAATATCTAAGTTTTTATAATAGAAAATGTCTGATAAAAAGGCTGGGGAAACCTCTGAAAGGAAACCATCAAACAACAAGAATATTAGGAAGCTGCGAGCTGTGAGCATGGTGTGCAGCCTGACTAGCAGTTGGCAGCAGTGGGTGGTGGAGAATGAGAAGAAGCAAGCCAGCGAGCCCACTGGATGGGCTCCGTCTTCCCTCCAAGAACTACCCGGGGAACCAAAGAAGACGTGGACCCCCAAAAAGCCTCCCTCTACTCCAACTTTCTTAACTCCAGAGAAGCTTGCAGAGACTCCAGTATCACCATCTAAAGGAGCATCCATAGATGAGGACATCAAGATCTCAGAGGAGGCCCATCTTGCATCTCCCATCAAAACAAAGCAGGTGGTGAAGACTGTATCCGGCGGTGTTCAGGAGAAAGGCACAGGTGTTAGCCACCTGGCTGAGAAGATCAAGAGGGACTCTCTTCCACCCGATGAAGAGATTGACCGACTGCTAAAGAAGAAGAGCTCCCCAACGCGCCGCAGGAAGTGCTCCAACATGGTGTCTTCTTTGACAAAAAGCTGGAAGCAAATTGAAAATGACAGGAAGGCTGGAAAAGAAGGAGGAGATGGTCTCAGCTGTGGGCAAGGAGAGAAGGAGAAGGACAGACCAAAGGACCAGGATGTTCAGACAAACAATATGTCTGTCTCAAAATCAGGGGAGCAAAGTGACTCTGAGGAGGAATCCGTCAAGATAAAAAGACCCCAAGTCTCAGTGTGAGTACTGCCGGTGTTTTTCATCTAGGATTCCTTAGATAACAGATCTTTGCATCTTTCCCAGAAGTCCCCTCGCTACATCCGTCCAGTATGTTACATGAAACTATTTGTTTCCTCATTGTTTTAACTCGGTGATAAAAAAAGACATCCTTGTATGTTCATGGTGGAATGGCTATCATTGTTATCTGACATGTGCAGAAAGCTACCTCTCGATTAACGTTCATACAGTCACCTTTAAAGCCGATGTAATAAATGGAATCAGAAAGCTTCCCATGAAGTTGAAGATTCAACAAGAAACGGATCAGACATCCTTTTTGATTTTGATTTAGATCAGATAAAAAAGAGAAGAAAAAGACAATCAGCTGTGGGACAAATCTTCACAAACATTCAAAACTATCTAGACACATATGCATAGTCTAAAGCTTGTTAGGTAACAGGTCAGTTGACAGCTGGTCAGTTTTTTTTATAGCATTATTCATGCAGAATATAGTTATTAACCCTATTAAAACAGTAACCACATTTTTATTAAGAAAGAACATTTTTTCTGCCTTAAAGGAGCATTAAACCAGTTTAAAGGCTAATTATTACTTTCTTTTTCCGATACATGCTTGTGCATTTGCCTGAAGCATAAAACGAGTGTTTCTCTACTTATTGCAGTTGCATCTATGGGCTAGTCGGTTCATGAAAATGATTGGGTCATATCCACGGGGCATGGCCTGAGGCAGAGCATTCACCTGGCTCCTCGGATATCCACACAACAGAGAGAGTATAACACTTCTAGATAAAACGAAAAGGGCTAAATCATATTGATCGGTAGCAGAATATAATGAAATTAAAAATTGCAAAAGCTTTTAAACAGCTACATTTTCCCACAATTTTTTTTCACTTTAGACTTAAATAAAGATTCTGTTTCAAATAACTTCAATATTTATAACTTTCTTTTATCTCTGAAGACATTCTGCCTCTAAAAGGAAGGCCTGCTCGCTCACAGAGGTGGATTCCTTTACTCTTCTCCCATGAGCATAAAAGACGCTACCGTCACATTTTGACACATTAGATTTTTCACATTTACAGGTTTACACCAGAGGGGACAAAACTTCTGCAAAAACTCTAACTAGCACTGTGTTCCTTTAAATTAGGGGAAGTTCGAAGACATTCACTCATTCCTCTTATGGAGACACGTACCCAATAAGGAGAGATGTTGCAGTGCTGCATAATCTGGGCTAGTATATAGATGCTGAATTAAAGGGACCTGAGAATGTAGCCTGTTTTGATTTGTCAGAACGATTGTTTAAGACAATCATGCTTCTTTTCTATTTGGTGATTCTATTCTGCAGTTTCAAGAATTGTGGACCTTCAGCTAAATATCCTGCTAAAAAGATTTGAGCATTTTGCAAAATCAGTATCATCTTATTGGACAATATCAATTCTCTGACAAAGTGTGGATTATACTTAAGACATGAAAGTTTTAGAAGTGAGGGTTCTTAAATACTGAAACTTTTAAACAATTTAACCTCTTCATGTCCATCATTGTAAATATAAAAGGAACCCTGTGTATTATGTACAGAAAAAAGGTTGTGCAGTAAGTGGGTATGTATCAGATGTTCAAGAAAGAAAGAAACACCAGTCTGTTCTGTTCAGCCCTTTCTAAAAGGTCGGTCATTAAGTTTAAGGTAGTAATGATATGTTTATAAAAGTAATAATAAAGATAAATATTATTTATATTCCATTTTACATTTGAGTATGTCAAAGAACTGTAAGGAAAGCTTGAATAAGCTCTCCCAGTAGAACTGGAGGAAAAAGTCCAATAGAAAGTCTATTAACCTCTTAAAATTATTATTTTACCACAGATTAAATAGTTTCTACATGTTTCTATTGACTGTGGTAAATTCATTTAGTTCATTTTGAACTTAATCCAACAAACATGTTTTGTGTTTTTTAACAGCAAAATTAGCAATTTTACTGCAATTACTATGATGTCTGTTCATTAAATTACGGTCTTTTGTTCTGGGCACAATTTAAGTTATCTTTGGTTATTTTTTTTCATTATTTGTGAGCATACCTTAGAGACATTTAAACTTTTTTCATATCAAGTAAAACCTCTTATATTTTGTGTCTTTTTTCATCCTCTTTCTTTATTGTTGAATCCATTTTCCCTTGCAGATACAAAAAAGAAGCCGAGGATGCCAACAAAATCAATGCCCTTTCTAAGAAGCACAGTGCTGTTGGAAACCTGAAGAGCCGCTGGCAAAACTGGGCCGTGGAGCACACAGTTAACCAGAAACTGAACCCATTCAGTGAATACTTTGACTATGATTACTCCATGTCGCTACGACTGCAGAAGGGTGAGGAGGGTTACGGACGTCCAAAGGAAGGTACAAAAACCGCAGAGAGGGCCAAACGAGCCGAGCAGCATATCCACCGTGAGATAGACGACATGTGCTATGTGATCAGGACTATGGCTGATCCAGATCCGGACGGGAAAACCCGTGTCACATTTGGACAGCTTTTTGACAGATATGTCCGGATTTCTGATAAGGTTGTGGGGATTCTGATGAGAGCCCGGAAGCACGGAAAGGTGGCGTTTGAAGGGGAGATGCTGTGGCAGGGCCGGGATGATGGAGTCATTATTACTCTCATGGTCTGACACTTTCACCTGATGATGCTGAAGCTTCAGACACTTAAAAGCTTGTTGGAGCCATCACTGCAGATACCTCAAGAAGACATTTGCTGCTATTCTAAGATACTCCAACTTGATTTTTATTGTTTTTGAGATGTTCTGAGACTTTTTTTGGAAAAACTTGGAAATACTCCAATGCTTTTACACCTGACTTTAGGAGGAAAGGTCAACATTTAAGCTCTGAAATCTGTGTTTAGAGTACTTTGAACTGAAGACTCATTAGACCTTTGCACTTTATTAACAGCTTTCAACACTAGGGATAAATGTCATTCTTTTTATTGCAACTCTCTCACCTTTACCTCAGCCTTACAATAAAGTTAGATGTGGGTAATAACTAGTTACATTCACTCTAGTACTTTTTCAACAATTTACTTTAGGGAATAGTTTTTCTCCAACATACGTTTTACTTTTACTTGAATGATATTATTATGATGCATCACTGTTTTTACTTGACTGAAATCTTGTCTGTTCTAACCACTGGGATTCATTTCAGTGAAAGAAGAGCAAAGCTAGTTTGAACCACAGGGTTCAAATCCCAACCCTGTTCATGTATGGGCTTTCACGAAAATCATAACTACTAGGTTGACTGGTGGGTCTATATGCTGTTTAGGTGTTAGTTTGTGTATATGAGTTTGTATTTATGTGTTACCTTACCTTTTGTTTCACTGATCTAATCAAGTCTGTTCTTTAAGCTTAAAGAGTTTTATGAAACAAAAAAAATGAATAAAATGTATATTTGCATTTGACTGGTGGAAATTCAAAACCATCCACTCAGACAAACTAAGACTAACTAGAATACTACAATATAGTGAACTGTGGTCATTTGATCACAGTGATAACTCAGTTTTTAAGTCATCAGTTTAAAAATGTGTTGAAATGTAATAAAACTCCATGATCTGTTCCAGGGCCATCATGTAAATGTTTACGTATGTGTTCCATTTTTATAGAGAAACATTATAGGGGGATTATTACATTATAGGGGGATTAATAACTAAAACAAGTTCAGAAGCAGCAGACTTTATTCTCAGGTGAGTTTCAGAATGTGTTTGAAGTGAAGCTAATGCAAAGCATTAAGGTGGAAGGGATCATTTTCATCTATGTGCGGTTTGAGCGTCATATTATTAGAGAAAATATAATGTAATAGACACCCAGATAATACTGTGAAAATAAGTGGTTTGAGGTTTCAATATTTAAACATCATATTTAGTCAGTCTTACAACATGAGAAAATTAAATAAGTTATATAATATTTAAGTAACTCAGGAGAAACATGGTGCTTTCCAGGACTTAATAAAACAAATGAAAAATGGCAGGTTAAGCATGAGAAGAGCAGACATGGAAACCAAGCTGATGAGATGAGAACTAACAATTAATTAACACTGAAACCAAGGAACCTAAAAACACCATGGGTGATTAGTGAGATGCACCAGGAGAGCACAATCAGCGTGAATGATGAGTCAAAGCAGTGAAGTAAGTGAAGGGAAAGTTAAAAACTCAGAGGGAACACAGAGAGCTGAAGCTTTAAAGACTTCCACCAAAACTAAAATCTAAACTAAAATCTACAAGGAAACACACAAAAAACATGACAGGAATACACAACCACAGACCAATCAGAATTCAAATACCATCAGGACCAGTTTGAAAGTCTTTATAATACATTGGGACATAATAAACTATAGTTATTTATTTCTGTAACATAGGTTAATCCAAAATAATTTAATCTAATCTCTTATTAAACCCTAATTTTGGCTTTACTGACCTTTTATTTTTGTAAATGAATTAGAATGCAAAACTTTTTTTTTAAAGTTGATTATTATTCATTGGATAAATTAAATGGAGAACTTAAAGGATCCAAACCTTTATGGAACTTCTGTTGCTTTTATTTTATAAAAGAACACAAAGACATTTTAAATCATAGCTGTATTTAATTTTTAATGTAATCTCTCTTTAAAATCTGATGTACAAGAAGAAATATTTTTTAACAAAAGGCTTTCTGAAGATGAGACACGGTATGTTGACTGGAAACTCATAGGAGTTGTATGGCAGGTTTTACATCAGAGGTTTTCCTCATTCCTGACAAATGCTGAAAGACGTATGTCTGTCTCTGCAGCAGTTATTAGTTTACTTTATGATAGCTTTTTTAAGCTCTAATTTATCCATAATTTGATAAATTAGATACACATGACCAAATCCTGTAGCCAAAACAAGTAACCATGCAGGGTAAAGTTGGTATTGTTTTTTTTTTCCACTTTAAAGAAAATAAAGTAAAAACAAAATCTTCGAACTTGACAAAGTTTATGATGCAAAACCATTCAAATATGATCTGAAATTAGAGTTAAAGTACCACCATGATTATTCAGTTTACCATTACTCTATAAAACTTTTCTCTGAAGTCACATGTAAAATTTAACAGAGAGACAAATCCCATGAAGACTGAAAGCTCTGCCCACATGATGTCACATGATGTGTTTTTTCATACCTAATTTAACAACCAGTTTAAATCCTGTGTGTAAAATTTTACATGTCATTTAAAGGACATACCAAAAGCAGGTGGAGATATAAGAGACACAGGGAACACAGCTACACGATCTCTCAGCTGGAAGTCCACATAGGATCTTAAATAAGACAGACAGGTAAGAATATATAGATTTTATTTACACAAAATTACACAACATCTGAGAATAAAACATGTTTTTTTGTTTTTGTTCGGTACACAGAATGCTTTTCGTGGCAATTTTTGCTCTTCTTGCTGCTGCTGTTGCAGCTGATGGTACGTCTCCACAAGTTAAGATATAAAATGCTGTAAAGGACATTTTATTTCCAGAGTGTTTGATCAAGTTTGCTCATGAGTTTTCTGCTGTTTTTCCTCCAGTTGACCCTCATTACTCGTTCTCCCCTCCGGTGGGGTCGGGAAGTGGGAGCTCCTACACGATTACTGGAGAGGGAAGGATCACTGCTGTGAGAGTTTGGGAAAACTATAGTAGCTACATTCGGGGGTAAGTCTGATATTCTCTTGGTATTTTAGAGAAAACAAAAAGTTATATATGAGAGTTTTTTCTGCATTTGTTCATATTAATTGTCCTTTTCTCCAGCATCCAGTTCCGCTATGGATATATCTGGTCTCCAGTTGTTGGTTATGCATACGGTTCCCGAAATGAAATTGAATTGCTTGATGGAGAAGCCATTATCCAGATTTCTGGGAAGCATTCTCACTATTTGTATTACCTGGTGTTTGTGACTAACCGGGGTCGCTCCCTGTTTGTTGGTCAGCCCTCTGGCAATTCCTTCAACATGTACCCCGAAAACCCCCAGGCTGAGCTGGTCTTCATCAGTGGCCGGAGGAGTCATGGCATCACCTCCCTGGGAGCCCATTGGGCGATTGTTGATCCATCCTTGAGCCCATCCAATAGCACTGCAGGACATTAGGGTGGAGGGCAGCAGACAGATATTGTAATCTAGAATATAATGTACTGCTCTTTTACTATAATGGGTTGAATATAAGTGTTTGCAACCCAGTAAGAAATGGAAGATTTATCTTGAAATTCTGCTTATGCTTATGCTTCTAAGAAATTACAGATGTAATTAAACTGTTCTGTTGTACACTTGAAATCAATATATACAAAGAAATTGAGTCATGATATAATAAGCATGGATTTATAAATAAAAATATTCTCAAGAACTTTTGCTTTCATTTTATCTTTCATTTGATTTGTTTTTAATGTAATACTTGTTGCTGTTGTAAAGCATATCTCTTTTAACTAAAATAAACAAACAACAATACAAAACGGACGTTTAAAATTTAAAGGAAACAAAACAGTTTTATTTAAATATATCTGCAAATTCTGGAAGATCCCACTTGCAAGATTAGAATTTTAAGCCAAAAAATAAAAATGTTCTCATAAAAACCTTCAGCCATTACTAAGGTTAATACTGTTCCTATTGCTTTAAAGGGTATGACAAAGCATTAGATCTATAAAGCAGTGTTTCACGCACAACTGCAGCATGTCATATGGTATGTTTTGATAAGCATGGCAGGATTAGCTCTACATGCTAAAGATGTGTGCCAAGTAGCTAGAATGTAAAACTTCTTCCTGGACAATTATCAAAAACATTAATCTGCCTTTCCAGAAGTCGCCATGCATTTGCTTCCTGGTGAGAAGAATCCAACCCAACTTATTTATTGTAACTTTATCTGTGGAATGAAACACATGTGGAAAGAAAGTGCTGAGGTCTACTAACAGAAAATGTTTGTGTTTAAAGATATGTTGCATGTAGAAATGCCATGATAAACAAAAGTAAAGGGAGGTGGATGTATTTTGGTTCATCAAAGTACATCCTAATTCACTCTCCTCAATTCATTCAACATTTTAAAAACAAGCACAGATGGATAATGGTTTGCCAATTATAAGCTACAGTTTTTGTGTGAACCAGATTACTGGAATTAAGAGAAATGAAAAGAGACAAAACAAAAAGCACATCATATGAGAAGAAGAAGAATGCAACATAATCTCAGGATATAATCTCAGCTCTTTACAGTTTCAGATATTAGAACATCCAAGATGCAAAATGTTACCTACTTCCCAAATATTTCAATCACTCAATTGGGACTGAATATGCATATATGACAACAAATTAACAAATGAAAGTTTATTTATCACAGTATAATTAAAATACAATGCTTTCTAATTGCAATGCTGAAGCATTGTATGCAACTGTTTGCATCCCAGGACAGAATGTATGAATGGGTAGTCAGATATAAAATAACCATATTAAAACCAGTAGGCCTGTTGTCTCCAACTCTCTTTTGCAATTTATTAAGCCTAGATGAAAATTTTATTTCAACTTCACCTCTTATCCAATCACCCTCTGACGCTCCCTTATGAGCCCCTGTGCTACACTACTGCTGTGGCCAGTCATCATCCAGGGATGGTAAATAACTTAGTTTTTCAAATTTTAGACATAATTTATTCCATTGCCCTAATTAATGTGAAGATTGTTGCTAAAAAGCAAAAGTCTCATTTAAATAGAGGCTCTATGGTTATAACTTCAAACTGAAAAATACAGGAACACCTTTCTTCTGCGAGGTCATCAGCTAAAACCTAAAACTGCAAGATCCCAAGAGATCAGGGAGCAGTACCCTTACTTCACACCCCTTTCAAACCACCTGTCTTCTTTGTCCAAAATGTGAACATTCTGGTCCTCAAATGAGTGTCCTTTGTCCTTAAGGTGTGGGTGGACAGCAGAGTGTCGTCCGGAGGAGGTAATTCTCCTGTGTTGAGACATGCGGCTTTTGAAAGGTTGTTTGGTTTCTCCAATAAACCTCTAAATGTTGAGGTTTCCATCTCCTTCCACACTAACCAAACAGTTCAGAACTGTTGGAATGACTATCATCTGGATGACAGAATCTTCACCAGCACATTGGTGATGCCAATGGTTAGCGTTGTGCAACAGATATCAGGAAAGTAAAGAATGGAGAGCAACATGGAAGGGAACCAGGGCGTAGTCAGGGTACTTTTTGTCCGTGCAAATCTCTCTCATAAGCGCTGCGTCTTGTTTATCGAATGCAGGGAAAGTTGCTTTTGCAAGCCTGACTGGTGCACTGTTATGACATCTGTACATCAATGATCTCACTTAAACTAGCAGGTCAACCTAGGTCTGTTGTTTTCACTGTATGCGGTTTGGAGCCAAGCCATTTGAAGGCGATTTTAACCCCAGTTTGCTTGCCGAGTCATTTGACCCGGCTCAATACAGGTAAGTGAGCCATTCCCACTGAACCTGAAAGCAGATTGTTTGTAGGTTTAAACTGTTCTTTTTTTTGGCTATTGGAAAAGGGGCATTGAAGAGGTTACTAAACTAAGCTCTTCTTCCTGCTGCCATTGATGTTTTACTCACAACCTTCCATAAGAAAGCTCCAGCTGTTTTTACGGCTGATTTAACTTGAATATTAAACACATCCTTTTTTTTTTCAACTATCAAACTGATGTTGAAAAAGAGTAACTGCTGTTGAAGGGGATTTCCAGTGACAGTGCACTGCTGGTGTACAGGGGTTTTGTGCTGGTCCGAAAGCAAAATAATATTTGAAGGCAGGATCGTTATCTGGATGACCTGACTGCACAAATTAGGTTTTGAGGTGGACTTTCTTACTTAAAAACATAAAAACTTCTTTTTAGCCACTTTTAACAGCAAATATAGCAAAGCCACTCTCTGCAATTGAGCACAGGAGCATCAGATGCATCTGGGCACACTTTACTGGACGCTTTCAGGAGCATCAAGGATGCTCTTGTGGCACGTTAGACCTTAAAATGTACAAGCATCAAAAAACAAGCAGCAGGCACTTTTTTGCTGCTTCTATCACGTGAGTCTGAATGTAGCGTAACAACGACTAGCTGCTTCAACGTCTTCCAATCAGGCTGTGGAAGAACCACAGCGCTGGTATTATTAGTGCCGTATTACACACTGCCAAACAGTCCATTTTATTAGACTGCCTGGAAAACTGGGGAAGCATTTTTTGGTACATCAATGGATTGGTTTAAATATAACATAACAAAGACAGAGCCTCTGTTATCTCAGTAAGTAACCTTTTGCCAGAGACTGTGTTTTGTTTTAGCTGTTACATTATGTCTTTATCAGTATGTACAGAAATAAAAAGATACTGTTGAGAAAGTAAGAAAGGGTATGAGGCGAGAGTAATGATATAGCTGCTTCATCGGACAAACAAAAGCAATGACTTTTCTGCCTATTATGCATCTAATATGTTGTTCAAAGCAGAAATAAAAAATTTTGTACCCCATCCTATCTTTATTCCGCTCCCTCAGTGATGTAGTGGGTAGCACTGCTGCCTTGCAGCAAGAAGGTTCTGGGTTCAATTCCCTGCCAGGGGTCTGTACGGAGTTTGCATGTGCTCCCTGAGCATGCATGGGTTCTCTCCGGCTTCCTCCCACAGTCCAAAAACTTGTTGACTGTTAGGTTAATTGGCTTCTCTAGATTCTCCTTAGGTGTGAGTGTGAATGGCTGTATGTCCTGTGTTGCCCTGCGATGGACTAGCGACCTGTCCAGGGTGGACCCCGCCTCTCACCCGTAGACAGCTGGAGATAGGCACCAGCACCCCTCGCTCCCCCAATTGGGTGGATGGATGAAGAATGTCAATGAGTTTTACTTGACTAAAGCTCACATAGATATTGCTCAATTGGGACAAAAACATTTTTTTTTTTTTTTTACTAGTAGTAAAACTGGAATGGCTGCCAAAAACAACATTGTCAAGGTTGCCTTCTTCCATGATAAGGATCAGAAAAGACAGAGTCATGATGCATTTGCTTCCTGATTTGGTCAAAACCCAACCCATTTACTGTATATTCACCTGTGGAAAGAGACACTTCTTAAACTTCTTAAGTCAAGTTTTCTTTCTTTTTATGAAAGTACAGTTTCTTTATTCATTCTTCTTACAAACATACAGCAACACTTAAGAAATAAAAATAATTGCATAATAACAATATTTACCATCATTGTGCTATATTTATACCTGTAAACAGATTACTGGCATGTTGACTTAGACAGAGAAGAAAAGCAACTCCAACCAATGAACAGATCAGACGAAACACAGAACGGCAGAATTAAAGGTGGAGTCTAACATGCAATGGACACAGAGAGAACATACTGGAGCACAGCTTCATTTAGAAACAAGGCAACCAAACAGACAGGTACAATCTTTGTTTATTTATCACTTTATAATTCTGAAACAGAATTTCTTAGGGTAAAAATGTAATCCTTAATTTTTATCTTGAACAGAATGCTTTTTGTTGCCGTCTTTGTTCTACTTGCTGCTTTTGCTGCTGCTGACCGTAAGTCTGCGTTACTAAACTTGAGTTAAAAACAACAGACTTAGAGCTTGTGAAAACATGTACTTTATATATTTATACAAATATTTTATTTGTTCGTCATTTTTTATGCATCTGTTTTTAAAGCGATCTTGTTTCTAAAGGGTGACATGTTTGCTTTTGTCTAATTCCAGGACAGCCTCAATATTCGTTCTCCCCACCGGTGGGGGATGGAAACGGCAACTCTTACATGATAACAGGAGAGGGACGGATCACTGCTGTGAGAGTTTGGGATAGTTATTGGAGCTTCATCAGAGGGTACATAAATAAGAAATATTTAGATATTCCTCTACATCTTTAGTTAGAGGTGCAGTTGTATAGAGCAGTTTTTGTTTTCTGCAGTACCTCATATATTTTTTCTTACTCTACAGCATCCAGTTTCGATATGGTTACATCTGGTCCCCTGTTGCTGGTCATGTATCCGGTGAAGCCAAGGAGATTGAGTTGTTTGAAGGAGAAGCCATTGTCCAGATTTCTGGAAAGTATTCCCACCATTTGTCTTCTGTGGTTTTTACTACCAACCGGGGTCGCTCCCTGCATGCCGGTCAGCCCTCTGGCTATTCCTTCAACATGTACCCCAAACACCCCCAGGCAGAGCTGCTCTTCATCAGCGGCCGGTTTGACAGCGGGATAACCTCCCTGGGAACCCATTGGGCGATTATCAATCCATCCTCCAATCCATCCAATAAAACAAAAGGACATTAAAGAGAAGATGAGGGGACAACATAAATTAAGGGCTCTATAATTGCACTGTTGAATAATGAAGTGGTAATTTAGATATGTGGGAATTCTTTCAATTAATCATTTACTAATCATTTAAAAATATGTGTTTAAATATAACAGTTTCTTATCATCAGATGTGTTTGTTTTACTGCACAAATAAAAATGGAAAAATGGGATATTCACATCCATATACAGTGTTAATGAAACATTAAAATCTGTGATTACTTTTTAAATTAAAGTTCCTATTTTTTCTGAAAATGCTAAACATGATAATGTTGTTAAGTTAACCTGAAACAATATTTATAAATAAATCTACCTCGCTTTATATAGAAATCTCCTGTTCTTTATTCTGGCTCTGTTACAATTTTTATTTTAGAGCAAGTTTATGTGTTTTGGTATCTATGTGGTCAGATTAAGACCGACACGTGACAATCGATTGATTGAAATGAGGTGTTTATGCATCCATGTTATACATTGACTTTTTAAATAAATACAAAAATAAAATAAAAAAAATAGAAAATTTTTCTATTTTAAAATCTAAAGTGTTTTTTTTTAAAGTAGAGAACAGGAATCGTTCAGTTTAGTATATAGACAATTTCCTGATTCACATATTTTAAAACCCCTGAACTGACCGTTTTTTTGTTTTTTTCTTCCTTTAATTCTGGCTTAATAGAGCAGTGGGCTTTACGCTGCCCTGTCTTGCAGGGCAGCATAAAGCCCACTGCTAAAGCGTAAAGCCCTGGGTTTGAATGGCGACAAAGCCATTCTCAAGGACATATAAAGGTGCTCATTTTATATTGAGCATATATAAATATTTGATATTTATTTTTGATTATGTTCATGGTGGAGAATCCTGCTTCACAGCAGTAGGTTGAGCCAAACATACTCACACCATTTCACTTTTCTGTCACCAGCTCACCGCAGTTTTTCCAGCAGTCCACACTTCTTCACTTTTTCTCATCATCTTCCCCCTCTTTCCCTCTGCCCGGCTTGCCACAGGTTTGCCTGCTGTGTCTAATTTGTATAACGTGTAGCCTGGTCCTGGACACTCTGGAAGGGTTCACTGTACGAACAAGAGAAGAAACAACATGTGGTAATTTATAGATGTTTTAAATCAGGTTGGGTCCGGATTAGCCAGCAGGTGGGTCCGGATCTGGACCGCCGTCATCTAATCCATGATCTAGAGACTGTAATGTAGAATAGAGTACGTTCATTGGCGGCTGTGGGAAGACGTTTCATGGGTAATTTTACAGTCAGTGGCTGTACAAACCAAGAAGATTCATATATACGCCAATGTATCCTATAGTATAGTATGTAGCGTAACAGTCTGGCTATCTTGGACCAACTTAAAGACATTGACTTAGTTAGCCAATGACATTGTGTCTAACATTGGAAAATAGAAAGTAGAGTAAATACAAAGTAATTCACTGTGAAATGTCAAAGTTGCAATTTTTGATTAAATGGATGATGCTGTCGTTTTTGAAGTGATTGGTATATTTCCCCTTTAAAGAGATCATGTGCTGAAATATTTTGCATGTTGTATTGATGAAAACAAAGAAAAAATAAAGAAAATAATTATATTTGTGTGTGTGTGATTGTGTTCGTGTGTGCATACATAATTGTTTTTATAGTATATACAAATGATCAGATTCTTGTTGTAGCTATGAGCAAAAAGCAAAATATGAATTTTATGTTACATATTATTTTGCCAATTTATGTGATTTTACATAGTGTAGAAACTGAAGCTCTGTGGAGTTATTAAATTGGTCCATTAATTTAGCTCTATTGTAAACCTATGTCAGATTTAAAGGCTAATGAACAGACACAGCATAAAAGTAAACGCATTATACCATGAACAGACATGTGCTTGTAATGAATTCTCTATGTAAAATCTTGAAATTATATGTAATATGTAATTACCTTAACAATATAATCAGTACCTGTAAATTACATGTACATCCGCAATTTAGCACTTTTGGCACATCTGTATCATTATTATGCTCCATTAACACATATATTTTCCATCTATCCATCCATCCATCCATCCATCCATCCATCAATCATCCGGGGTCGGGTCGCGCGCGTAGCATCTTCAGTAGGGAGGCCCAGACTTCCCTCTCCCCAGCCACATGGGCCAGCTCCTACAGGGGAATCCCAAGGCCCAGGCCAGCCGAGAAACATAGTCCCTCCAGCATGTCTTGGGTCTCCCCCTGGGCCTCCTTCTGGTTGGACGTGCCTGGAACACCTCACCTTTCGGTCATGACCATGGATGAGGGTAGGAACATGGATTGACCAGTAAATCGAGAGCTTTGCTTTTTGGCTCAGCTCTCTCCAATCCGCCTATCGATCTCCCGTTCCATCTTACCCTCATTCATAAACAAGACTCCAAGACAGTTAAACTCCTCCACTAGGAGCAGTACATCCTCCCCAACCCGGAGAAGGCACTCTACCCTTTTCCGGCTCAAGACCATGGTCTCGGATTTGGAGCCACTAATCCTCATCCCAGCCGCTTCATACTCCGATGCGAACCGCTCAAGTGAGAGCTGTAGATCACGCCCTGATGAGGCCATCATAACCAAATCATCTGCGCATAACAGAGACGCAATCCTAAGGCCACCAAGACAGATCCCCTCAACACCTTAGCTGCACCTAGAAATTCTGTCCATAAAAGTTATGAAGAGAATCGGTGACAAAGGGCAATCTTGGCGGAGTCCAACCCCCACCGGAAACGAGTCTGCTTATTTCCGGCAATTTCCAGGCTCTGACACCGGTCGTACAGAGACCTAACAGCCCTTATTAAAGGGCCTGGTACTCCATACTCCCGGAGTACCCCCCAACAGGAACCCCCAAGGGACACAGTGGACAGCTCTACACCCTGAGCAGGATCCTGGAAGGTGCATGGGAGTTTGCCCAACCAGTACACATAAATTTTGTTGTGATGGATTTATATAATATGTTATATTACATGATTTACAGACTTCATTGACTTCATACCAACTATGCAATGTGATGTGCCTACCTATTTATAATAATTTACAGTAATCTACTTATGATATGAAATAGACAGTGTGTGTCAAAGTGATGAATTTATCTTTATTTTAAAACTCTTAAGCTCCCCTAAAAATGATAAAATCCTTGTTGTTCAATGCTGCAGCACACGCATTGTTTTCATTGCGACCGTTCTAACTAGGGAGTACCAATATGGCGTCCGGTCACTTCACTCCACCCTATACTACCAACAGGATATCAGCAGTCCATTGAATAAATAGAGATCAGTGAGAATATCAAAAAACTATATATTGCAGGGTGTGTGCTGTATTGAATCAAGGTATTAAGAATTGTGGAAGAAATATGTGTTACCCATTTCAGAAACATCTAATGGGGACCATACCAACTGCAGCCCCCACTATCATTTTTACATCCATCCATCCATTTTCTTACACGTTTAATCCCAGTTGGGGTCAAGAGGGGTGCTGATGCCTATCTCCAGCTTTCTATGGGCGAAAGGGCGGGGTACACCCTGGACAGGTCGCCAGTCTATCGCAGGGATCACTTTTACAACAGCTGTTTAATCGAAGATCTTCCCATTATGATTGATTGATTGATTGATTGATTGATTGATTGATTGATTGATTGATTGATTGATTGATTGATTGATTGATTGATTGATTGACTTTATTGAGCTCACAGCGGACAAGTTTACTTCTTACATCAGCTCAAATAGTCAAAGAAGAAAAATGTGCCAAAGGAAGAAAAAGGTGCATGGGCATTTTTCCAGGTCTGTTCTTGTTGTCTGTTGAAGCAGTCTGATTTTTTTTCTTATTTCAGTCGGATTCCTTTCAGAATACTACTGTAAACAGCATCTAACCAAAAAGACTTTAAATGATTTAACCTCTGGACTGGATATAACAACTAATATTGATACCAGACTCTACATTAGATTAAGAAAACATTTGAGGATCATAATACATCATTTTACAGAAGCACAATTCTGTCTTGTTAAGGTCTTAACATTATGATTCTTGTAACAAATGTTTTTCTTTTTTTTTGGACACACAAATGCAGTTTTCCTGAAAAGATTTTTGCCTGCTGATCCAGTTCCTAGAAGTACAAGTGATAGATTCCTAGAAGACATTTCATGATAACCATCGAAGAGGTTGTATTTCCAGTTATAGCTGTCATACCAAAGCCCTATGTTAAAAAATAAATGAAGTTAACATTGCTAATATTTATGTACACATCTAAAAAGACAACATTAATGTTGCATATTACCTTGCATCCTTACAACTCAACATTGGTTTGTAAAAAAAAAAAACAAACAAAAAAAAAAGGTGTTACTTTTCACCAACACATCTGATTCAGTTGCGCTACAAGTAAAGTAACCAGTCACTGTAAATACCTTGTAATCTGAAGGGGCGTGCCACACTGCTATAAAAGTGCTGGTACTGAACCTGTGAGAAGAGAAGCCTGACCAAAGCAAGATCTGGATACAGATGCAAAGACTCTGAATGTGCAAGAGAACATTTGAGAAAGTTGTAAGTGCTTTTAAATTTTTAATAGTCAGCAGACAATTAGTTGTTTATTTAATTTTCTTACATTATCAGACACCACAAACAGGGGAAGCTGTGTTACAGTATATCTGATCAAACTTTAATCTTTCTTTACTTTCCTGTAGGTTAGTTTGGCTTATCCTGCAAAAACTGTTTTCCAGGCATGTAAAAATATCACAGTTTCTTATGTCACCTTATTCATTACATTGAGTGAGTGAAGTTCTGCTCAGCAAAGTGGTCTGAGTCACTATTTATTTGCTTCACAGAATGCATTACATCGCTGTATTTGCTCTCTTGTTGGTCTGTGCCTCGGCTGATGGTAAGTATCACACTTTTTTTCACTATATTTAAATATGCAGATGAACCTTTGTTCTTATTTAGAAATGAGTCATTGTTGAGTCTGCAGCTTCATCTTTGGAGATTTTATAAAAACAAAAATTATTACTTCCTCAAAAAGGTCAGTAGACAGCAAAAAGTTCCAGAGTGCAAACCAAAGACCTAAGACTGATAAATCCAAATAGTCATCAACGAATGATTCTTTCATTTATGATTATTATGTAGATATGATGTTTAAAATCTGTGAGGAGAAATTTGTGGGTAATGTTAAATATGTTAGTTTACTGATGCGAAATTTACTAACAAAATAGAAAAGCAAGCCCTGCATGAATTAATGCTGGATTTTACCCTAAGTGTAAGCTTGTTGGTTTTTATGAAATTGAAATGTCATCAAGTCTAATTTACAGAAAGAGCTGAACACAAGGAGGTTTATAATTTTCCATGAAATCTAAATTATAACATTTATGATTGTGAAAATATTAGGATCTGCTGACATCAATTTCTGGTAAGAAAAACCTTAATTCATGTCAGAGGAACATTGTAGTGTACAAAAAAAAATAGTCTGAAATGGTGAGGCACTCTAATTAAAACAAACATGCCCAGATCTGGTTCTTCTAGCAAGTTATAAAAGCAGTCTGCAAATTGATAAATGAAATCTAGCATAACCATAAAAATATCACAACAGAATCTCAAAAAGGCTTTTAACTGTTAATATGATATTACAGGTCTCTCTAGGAAAAATATAAAACCAAGACCAACTTTTGCTGCAAAGTGTTTTAGACTTAGAAGGTGTTCTTTGGACAGACAAGTCAAAAACCGCAGTTTTCAAATATATATATATATATATATATATATATATATATATATATATATATATATATATATATATATATATATATATATATAATCAATGTTTCTGGGGTCTTTGACATTAAAGCTTCTGTGTCGTGTAAAGAAATCCACAATCCATCCTCAAACCTCATAATAGCAATTCCCATGTATTTTTCTTGTCTTTGCAGACTCTCATTACTCCTTTTCGCCGTCTGTGGGATATGGAGGGGGCTCCTCGTACAGCGTCACCGGGGTGGGCAGAATCACAGCTGTTAGAGTGTGGGATCTCTACAACAACTACATCTATGGGTGAATTTTAGAAAGTTATGGTCAGATACAAAACAGATAGAAATAAAGATGTTTAAACAAATGGAGTTTAAAAAGTCTATTATTTATGTTATTATGACTACTGTCTGTGACTTGAAGGTACATAAATATGTTATTCCTACACAATCTAAAAAAACCAATATCACACCTCACTTCCTATTTTTCAGCTTCCAACTTCGGTACGAGGGGGTTTGGAGTCCGGTAGTTGGCTACATATCTGGTGCACCTAATGAGTTGGAGCTATTTAAGGATGAAAAAATCATCCAGATCTCTGGGAAGTACACTCACTACCTTCAGTCGCTGATCTTTGTCACCGATAAGGGCCGCTCCCTGCATGTTGGTCAGCCCACAGGCCATACCTTCAACATGTATCCTACCCACCCAGACGCCGAACTGCGCTTCCTTAGCGGCAGCGTTCATGGACCTCCCACTTCCCTCCAGGCCCACTGGGCTATCCTCGACACTGACAGCAGTGAGCATCATTAAGCAATGGTGAAGAAAATCTGCTGATAAATAGCGGCCATCTTTAAATTAGCATTTTTCTCTACCGTTTTTACCCTTTCTTCACTTTTTGAATTAGACTATGATTCATTTTTGTCTTTTTGGTGAAACTGTTAACCATTTATTCAAGTTTAGTTTAAAATCAGTTTTAATAGCATGGGGATTCCATTTTCTGTTCTTTTTTTTATCTTTTTTCTTTGTGCTTTACCAATATAGTTCTGGGAATAGATATGCCAGAGCTAGATAACGGCCCAACAGATTGTTTTTTTCACAATCAGATCATTATGTTTGTTGTATTAAGGTTCTGTTTTGTACGTTTATATGTAACTTCATTGATAATTTAGGGAATAAAAATAGAACAGACACAGAGACTGAAAGGAAGAGGGTATAAGAATTAAGGGGAGAGAGAGTAAGAGGAAAGAGGGAAGATTAAATGGAAAAGAGAAAAAAACAAAACAACATACAAAACAGATATACAGTAGCTCCTAGAAGTCTGATTCCGCACCTGCATGAGATGAGAGGGGAAAAAAACAGAAAGCAAAGCATAAGGAAAACTTAAACAAAAGACAACCAAAATAAACATCTAAATAGCTTCTAGAGCAACAAGTATCCCATAGATACCCAATCAGCATATGTGTGTGTGAAAAGCAAAGCCTGTGGTGATTATACAATGTCATACAGGGTTGTATGTATTTGTAGCTGCAGCTTAGTATTTAGCATCAGCATGTATCTATGAGCATCTGGCACAAAACTCTTTGCTGTGCAGCCTCCAAAATTAATAGATTTTGGTTTCAATAAAAATATTAATCTACCTTATTTTGTTTTTTATTTTAAGAAAAATTGTATTAACCCTAAGTATTATAGAAGGGTATGGCATATGTGTGATAGGTTAGTGAAGATTATCTCCTTCCATGTTTGTTTATTCGAACTATAGTTTCATCTAAATCATGTTTTTTTCTTTCTTGTAAAATTTGATAAAAATAATCTGATAATAAATAAACATAATCATATTCCAGGCTTGGTTTCCTTTTCATGCACATAAACTTGGCTGTATATACTGTATATACTTAAAAGTTTACTCAAAAGACCCCCTAAATAAATAAATAATAATCTACCACACCAAGTGTCCTCTAATTAGTTAGAAGCACAAATCAGAAGGTTGACTATGACAATGTATTCGAAAACATTTGAGCTACTTTAATTAGCTAATTATCTATGTTTTTATGTCATTCACTTATTAAACTATTATTAAACTATTCAGTCATGTCACTTTAGTTATTAAAGACAAACCCAATGAGATAAATTTGAGATGACCCATATTTGTAACATCCATCCATCCATCTATCCATCCGTCTGTCCATCCGTCCGTCCATCCGTCTGTCTGTCCGTCCATCCGTCTGTCTGTCCGTCCGACCTTCAGTTCACGAGGGTAGCAGCTTCAGAAGGGAGGCACACGGGTCCCTCTCCTCAGCAACTTGGGCCAGCTACTACAGGGGAAACTCAAGGTGTTCCCAGGCCAGCCGAGAAACATAGTCCCTCCAGTGTGTCCTGGGTCTCCCTCTGGGTCTCTTCCTGGTGGAACATGCCCGGAACAGAGAGGAAAACTAACCATATATGCTCACTTTAATACCTGCAGAAAACACTTAACCTTGTTTTCGACATTTGGTAGAAAGACAGAATGCAGAGAAAGACCCACAGATGAATGGGATTAGATTAAAAAAAAATTACACCAGTGGAAACGGGGCCTAGATTTCAAATTGCAGCCTTTTACTGTAGCTGGGAAAGAAAATATAACCACTTACCTGTATGTCAGATAATATTTAAAGTATGTGGGAAATATGAACCCATGATTGTCATATTCTTCCTGCAAAGCAGTCCTGGGTGCTGGGGATGTTATGGCGTTTAATGACCTCTTCTAAAAATGAAAGATTTGTGAGTTTTGTTTATAGTTTGACCCATATGCAGAATCACATGAACAGTCAAATTTTAACTTTTAAGATTTTATTCATAAAAGCAATAAGAATCTGGAAGCAGAGAACTACAGGAAGTCAGTTGAAATTTCTAGTTGGTCTGAGAGAAGATAGCAGGCTGATCAGGAAGGAGTTGGTTGATGACTACTCATGACTGATGGATTTGCTTACTTGAGAGATGAAGGGGTGGTAGTATGGATCTGTAGGGGTTTGATTCAGCGGGCTTTGGAGACTGTACCCCAGAAGTCCAGGAAAATGTGAGAGATATCTAAGCGCATTGGTGCTACAACAGACGTCGTGCTGGAGAGCGTGAAGGCAGATGATGAAGACTGAGAACTGCTGCACACAGGTAAGATCTTTTCCTTGAGAATCAGAGGCGGACTGAGGTTCACTGGTTGAACGTTAAAGAGATTCACAAGAAAACAGATTTCAACAAGAAAGATATTCCTGGTTTAGGTCTTTGGCTGTAATACCATCAGGGGTAATTATCCGGAGAAGAGAGATGATCCTTCAACTCCTTATAAACAAGCTAGTCATCTTGATTAAGAAATGTTCTCAGTGTACAGCAGCACTACAAAGATCCTCTCTATGACAGGAAGCTCTATTACAATAGAAAAACAAAGACCCTAACAAGATTTGTCATTGGAAGCAACCTCAGTGGAGAGCGATAGTATGACTCCCTCTAGAGACTTCAGAATGGCCCGACCTTCCCAGATGAGCACCTTTTTGAAGTAGCTTGGGTTAGCTGCTTAATCCAGAGTTACCAAGCAACCAAACCAGCTGAACTGCAACAAATACTGTTTAGATCAATAAGGCGGACAGTCCCAGGCTGCCTACTCAGCTCTGCTAATAGATCCAAAGTTGTATTTGCTCAACATCTGTGGCACCAAAATAAAAAAGCAGTTCTGATGATAGGGCATTCTTAAGAAGTCTTGATACAACAAAATGTTTGCTGCAAACAGTTTGCAACAAGATTTGGGGCAATTCTTTAAAGTTAAAGTGACATATTCAAACATGAGCTGGCTGATAAAAAAAGGCTATGAAAAATTCCAACTCTATAAACATTGGATGTCTTATTTTAATCCTAGTGCTCTAAACAGACAGCACTTAATAGTATTATTATACAATGCCATAGGAGTGACTGTCTCTGTAGGAGTACAATGCATACCTTCAACCCAAGAGACATGTAAGACAATACTTTTCCCATAATATTCATCAACAGGCGCAACCAGGAAATAGATCATTCATCTGCAATTAACCTAATAATTAGCCTAAGGGCAGTCACACTGGATTAAAAGCCGCTGCTAATGCTGACTGTGTGAGACAAGAAAGAAGAAGAGAGTCAGACACAAACGCTAACAGCTTGAACCTCTGACGGATTTTAATGCGACAGATAAAAGAAATTGTGAGTATCTCATTATTTCAGTTGATCATCATGGTTGGTAAGGACTGGATATTTTGTTCAGGTAAATATCATTAGTGCTTCTAAAAAAGGATCAATAGTGCTAACTTGTACTACTATTTCCTCTTCAGGTTTACTTTACTACTCTTGCATAGACATGTAAGAACAGTTTTTTTTTCTTACTCTTTAAAATAAGTAAATGAAGTGCTGTTTAACAAAATAGTCTAAAAACTTTTGAACTCATTTCACAGAATGCTGTACATCGCTGTCTTTGCTCTACTGGGGGCCTGTGCCTTGGCTGATAGTAAGTGTGTAATTAGCACTGAACTGCACTATTTTGATGTGTTTTTGATGTGTTCCTTGGATAAATCTATAATATCTCTGTGAGGCTAAGCAGTCTTACTGAAGCTTTTTTTTTTTTTAACTAGAGTCTATTTTAAGTTAATCAGAGCAATGAACGACATGGAGTCATTAATTAAAGGGAATTAAGCTGACAAGAGGCATATTTATGTAGATAAACTTCACTTTAAGTTCATGCTTGATTCAACCATTAAAGAAGAGGTTTATTTTAATTACTGAATGAGAGTAAACAGAGGTCAACAGTCCAAAGAGGAGATAGTAATAGTTTCCATTAATGTCCTCTGGAAACGATGGGGATCAATTTTCTACTACAAGAGGATGTGTGGGAAGTTCACCTCACATTGAAGATCACTTTCAAATGCAAACAGACATAAACAATAAGTTGAGCAAATGTAGATACAATTTTGGTAATTTTATGAAATGTCTAAACAAACAGAGAACTGAAGATAAAGGAAGATTTGGTTGGCATCAATTTAGATTAAATAGCAGCGAGTCAGAGTGAGCAGCACCTGTGATGGAGGGGAGTCACATTAACTCTATGGAAATTAAAACGAATGTGACTCAGCTGCAGCAAAAACTTAGGTTACACCTATGTCACCTGATTGACTTTATAATTTTTATAATCTTGGTTTTGTTTGTGATGTTTATAAATAAATCAATATTTTTTTTCACCTTTTTTCTTCAGACTCCCATTACTCCTTTTCTGAGTCTGTAGGAACAGGAGGCGGCTCCTCATTCAGCGTCACAGGGGAGGGAAGAATCACAGCCATTAGAGTGTGGGAGCTCTACAACACCTACATCTACGGGTGAATGTTTTATATTTTAAATTAACCCGTAGAGAAATAGAAAATGATGGTTTCAACCAGGGACCATTAAAGTTCTGTGGCCTAGGGATGTAATCGCGATGCAAATATACAACTGCAATACAAAAAGTACAGCGGAGACAAAAATTTTAGTTGTCAAAAAAAATTTGAAGTGCATAAAACTTATGCAAAGGAAAACTGCTGCTGAGGAGAAACACGCTGCAATCACAGAAAATAGAAAGTAGCAAAGTGCAAACATACTGCAACCACATTAATGATGGTAACACACTAAGGATATGGAAAGGAACAATCCTGCACAAATATCTGCAAGTTAAAAAGCTCCGCATCATGGAAGTACTTTAGACCACCAGGGGGAGACGATCAATAACCTGTATGAGACCAGACCAAAAACATTTCAAAGAATTAATGTCTAATGAAAAGACCCTTAGCTGAAAGCAAACAAAATGCTCCAAATATATATGTTATATATATATATATATATATATATATATATATATATAAAATATATATAATATATATAATATATATAATATTCAAAGGACAGGTTTTCTATTTGAATAATTTTTTTAATCCACTCTAGCTGTGACGTTCCACCTTTTTCATAATTTTATTTATGAACTCTTGTCTTAATTAATCTCTGTACTTTAAATTTAAACAAGACGATGAACAAAAGGCATCACTTGAGAAAAGAAATACTTGTCTGGTTTCATCAACAATTTAACATAGATTCAGACTTTCCTCTCCTCAGACACCACTTCCATATCTGCTGGTGCTGGTGTTCCCAAGCCAGCTGAGAGACATAGTCCCTCCATCATCTCCTGGTTCTCCTCTCAATGTGGAGGAGAAGCGGCTCTACTCTGAGCCTCTCCTGAATGGCCAAGCTCCTCACCTCCAAAGGAGATACTGTAGGGTGGGGAGCTTGCAGAGCTCATTTTAGTCTCTTGTATGTGTAATCTAATTTTTTCAGTCATGATCCGGATTTTATGACCATAGGTGAGGGTAGGAACATAGACTGACTTATGAATCAAAAGCTTTGCCTTTTTGCTCAGCTCTCTCTTTGCCACAACAGACCAGTGGAGCAGCCACATCATTGCAGCACTGGTCTGTCTATTGATCTCCCTCTCCATCCTTCCCTGACTCGTGGACGGCCCAAAGATACTTGAACTCCCTCACTTGAGGAGAACTCTCCTCCAACTTAAAGTGGGCGAGCCACCTCTTTCTGGTCGAGAACCCTGGCCTCTGATTTAGACCTGATTTTCATCCCGCCTATTTCACACTTTTGCCCCAGTTCCTGCTGCAGGTCTTGGCAGGAGGAACAGATCTGCAAAATCAGGGATGAGATCCACTGTTGGAGGCCCCCCATATGGTACAAAGAGGGACCGGTCGAATGCCTTCCCACAAGTCCACAAAGCACATGTAACTCCCATTAACACTCTAGCACCCCTCACAGGGTGTAGAG